GCATCTGTCTTGGGTTTTAATTGCCGTATACACGCCAGGCATAATCCATTCTCATAACCGTTTATTAGATAATACTGTCTCCACAATGGATCATAAGTGAATCCGATGGTAACCCAAACACTCGTGGTAAGAATATCTGGATACCTATTACATACAGTAATAGTAACTAGTGAAAATGATAAATAATACAAGTCAATAATTATTTAAACTATTCAACAAGTGTGACGCATTAGTAAATAGTTTACCTCGGCATAATATAAATCAGGTGTTTCATCTGTTATTCTAAGCCGAATCAATTTGATACGTGCACGAGCAGGTAGCAGTCCATATATGTCTACCCATTTAACCCAATCATCAATACAATCAAATGGAATCCATTCAAATAGGCGTTATTTGGTGAGTTTGTTTGTAATTGAGACTTTTTAATAAACTCATCAAGTTGCTTATTCTTGCTAGTCCATCCATCGGATAATTGTTTATGTCCACAGATGCACCACACACTGGACTACATCGAAGTATTCCGCATGCAGAGCAAAATCCATATCGATAATAATAATGGTAGAAGCGTGTCGTAGTAACCATGTAATAGTTGCCATCATATTTGGTAAATCCTTTTATGAGAGCATTGGATAATTGAGCCATCTTTTGTATCGTCTAAATTGACTGACATCGATTTCGTACTTGTGTGTTGAGAGTAAGTAGCTTTTACTAAGCGGCTGGCACTGATTTTCCGCTGGCTTTGCAAGTTTAGTTTTTCGAGTAGACTGGTGAGATTGTGCCAACAATTTCAAACTTCTTATAATTTACCTCCTTGATCAACCCCAAACGCAAAGTTATTTCTTATTTTCATCCTATATTCTGGCAAACTCGCTCACTAGTGTCGGTGTACATTCTTCACTACTTCCAAGCAGTACTAACACGATGTTATCGTACATGCGAATAGCATAGTAGACGTTGTCAATTTGAGTCGGCTCTATGTCAGTGATGTTTTCGTAATGAATCCATTCAAGCTTTTTGTTCAGTACAACTTCTAAGGAAGATTTTAAGTTATCAATTGCTGGATTATCAACAAAATCAGACATAGAGAGAGCATTCTCATCGTTTATTGTGTTACATCACCGGATCTCCAATAGTTGAATAATCTGTTGTTATGGTCTAACATGTAAAACCAGCATTATCGGTACAAGATGTATATATCGCTAGTGCTTCACTTTGCTTCCACCGCATTATTACGATATCGCAAAATTTATCACAATTTCTAATAGTAGGCTTCGATTTTGCAATAGTACATATTGTGATTATTGAAGACCTAACTTATCGCGATATTGAAATCTGATCTTTCAAATTTGCGTGTAATTTGTGGACACCAGATAGCTTTTACTTTTTCATATTTTCAAGTAATATTCATGAGTCCTTCTTATAGAAAAATTAATATGAAATAGATGAATCGAAAAACGCTGTATCATCACATAGGAAATTGTTATTATGCACGTCATTTAGGAATGGGAAATATGATTTCGTCATATCGTTCATCTTGCATTGAAACATGCATTTGCAAGTAAACAACCAGCGCTTACCGCAGGGATTAATTAAACAGACAGAAAATTGTATTATTGTTATGTCGATCGAATATGATAGAATAGATACGAGAATGTTTGAGTATTTTCTAATGACTGCATTATTATTAGTTGAAATAAAATGAGGTATATAATTATTAGTCACACGAGCGCATGAGCGTGTCGATCTACTAGAATGGTGAAGAATAACTCCTAGTTTTTATCCAAGTACCATACTAATTACTGCTTATGACAAATTATCAACGGCATAAATATAATGGCATGCATTTAGAAAGAAGCTAAACCCGATAAAATATGATAATGTCCGCAATTGAATTAACACCCACTCCCCAATTTTTTGCAGAATAGAGGCCGGTACCTGCAACTGCAAATTCAGTTAATTTTTCAATCTGTATCGACAGCCTATCAACGTCAACGATAGCAACTCAAAAGCATAACATAAAATTTTGCAACTCAAGTAATGAGGTTAGGAGAGTCAGCTCCTCCAATGCTATAAGTTGTGAGGATAAAATAATTAGAATTAGAACTTGTACTTTGGAGCTTTAGTTATTTATTTGTTAATAGGTTTATTAGTCGTAGTTAACCCTTAAAGAATCGGCACGATTTTCTGTATTTTGAAGAATTCTTTGTCAAGCTTTCCTGAGGATAAGTCATGAATCTGTCAAATTTCAGTCTGATTAACTGTTATCTGCAAGTTTTCCAAACATCTATTTAGCATTAGAAAACAAAAACATAAGCAAATCGCATATCGCATATTTCGAACATAAGCTTTAAAAATCCATATCTCCACATGGGTCTTGTCGATTGACATTATTTTTTTGTTAGTGTCTATATTTTTGAAATAATATTGTTACTATGATTGGTAATCGATACGTATAACATTATTGATATCACGAGCACTTTACAGTAGAAATTACAGTGATTCGGTCAACAGTTATATGAATGCATTCTGATGATGTAGAACAAATAAAAATTCGTTGGAAAAGTGTCGAGATTAAGTTTGAGGTTTGGAAATTTTGCCGTCGTCGATATCCGATCAGGGTATTATACGGCAGGGAAGCTTTCAAATTGTTCGCTCATTCATATCCCGCATTAGGACCGTTCGGATACTTATGCCTACTTCTGTATATAACGATGATTTTGCATGTTATCATATGCGGTTTAAACGGAATAATGTTTACACTAAAGTAGTTCAACCGGAAATACTGACCAGTAATAAGCATGATTTTGGACATGTGATTCAATCATTACCTTAAAATGTTACAAATCAGGAAATCAAATCATCCAATGATGATCCTTCATTAAACACGTTGTTACCATACGTCAGACAAAAAAAAAAGTTTACGTCAGTCTAGAATGTATAATACAGGTATTCTTAACGGTAACTGATTAATGAATAAAATGGAATATTTGTTTCTAACGTTGGCTTAAACAATTTTTCTCTCTCTCTTTCTTCTAAGGTAAACAACTCTTTTAAATATGATTACCAGGGCTATTTCTTGGTGATAACTGGTTACCGATAATACAATGGTACGGTACATTTTGCAAAAGTACAACACATACTGTGTTTATTGCTCGCAGATTGATCTCAATTAATAGTACTGATGTGATTAATTTGTAAACATTATCCGATCGCAAATATGGGAAATGTGATATTCAACTATTCTTTGAGACAAGATTGTTCAAATCGTGACAAGTCAGTGTACAAATCAAAATGTTGTACCCACCAACTTAAGAAAGAAGAAATACAGATTCTGAAAGATTTTTTGCATGTCCGATAGTTAACAGCGTTGAAGAGATGGCTGGCAGTCTATCTTGCAGTATTGTACAAACTTGATACATTTACTTATCTTTTGACAGTTTTAAGTTTGATCTAAACTTTTAACACCCAATACATTATCTTGTTAAACATTTATATAATTTCTACATCTGGAAAAGTCTCATGCTGTCATAATAATTAAATAGAAACCATATCAGGAATATTGCGAAAGCAAACGAACTCGCATGACACTCAGCCAGTAATTACTTTGTATTACATTTTACAGTGCTACAATAGTATTTATTCCAATATTTTGATCCTGCCAAAAAATTGTCTATTGACCACTAATGACATTTATCAACTGCAAATGCTTTCCAAGACATCTTTGCTAGAATAAAACGTCAACGTTTACACTTTTAGTCACTATTGTTATCCACTCAGCAAATAACAGCATTTCCGATTAATTGTTTTCTACCGCGTTATTGTAATTATAAGCTCGGCATGTAATATTTTTCTCTATTAATTAAATATAAGCCTTTTTTCCCAAAGTTTTGTAAAGCTATAACTCTGCGGCTTTATTTTATCAAACGCGCTTTTTTATTTTTTGTACAAAATATCCCGGCAGCAATAAAGTTCGATAATGGAAGTCACGTGCCAGCCCTTTTTCAGTTGTAATACCCGATTGTTCTTGAAGCATTAGCAAATCAGAAGCCACTCATGTGCGGGCCTAATCAAATTGTAAATGTTTTATTTTATTCGTTAAATTTGTAAACTCGTAATATTGACGGCTAAATATATACACTTGAATTTACTCTGCTAACATATTTATTGTTGACATACACAGTCATTGTTCATCAATAGTTATAAACCATTCTACTCTTTAAATGTTTCTTATTAAATTCATACACGGTAAAGTCCGATTTAACAAAGGTCCGATTTAACAAAGGTCCGATTTAACGGATGGATTTATAACGATAACAAGGTTTTTTTTTGTAACAGCATCAACGATACTCCGACATTAACGAAGTCGGCCGATGGAGCGGAGCACTTCTGTGTTGCTTTGTCCCAGACGATCAATCGGCCTACTTGTATTATTATCGTTAAATCAAAATCATGCGCTACTAAAATAGTATGCATACCCTCCAGATACCACGTGCGAGGATGTGAAGGGTAAATATTACACGTTGTTGACATAAAGTGTGTCGCGAATTTTGCCGAGCTAACCCGTGCACTAAGCGCCCACATTAAAAGAGATGATTGGTCTACAGACAAACGCCGAATAATCAAACATAACGGGACTAGACTAGTACTATCGTTTTCGTTCTATTATTATTACATATCGTTATTGCAAGTTATATACCGGATTCTTTAAGCGCTTCACAAAAAGACGATCAAATCTTAATCTTAATTAATATTATTATAATAACGGCTTCGGTGCGGAATAACGGAACTTCGTTACACGAAATCCATTGTTTAATATAAAAAGTCCGCCGTAAAATTCCGCTCAGAAGAAAAAGGTCCGTTTTATCGACCTTTCACTGTCTCCCATTTAAATATTCCCCGTATCTCACCTTGTCTTGCCTCGCCTCTCTCATACTGTTATACTACTTCCATAGGCACATAACTCCATGTTAAACCCCGTTGTTTTTATCATTTTCGCAATCATGGCCGTGTCCACTGACTTGTCATTATTCGCAGTAACCTTACTATCTCCAATATTGTGTATCGCCAACTTTGTTGCCCGTAAAGCACGTGAAGCTGCCGCAAAACCGTGGCGTCCTGAAGATAAGGTGATCCTTATAACCGGAGCTTCGAGTGGAATAGGCGAATCACTTGCATATACGTTTTCCCATGCTGGATCATCCGTGATTCTGGCCGCTCGTCGAAAGGATGAATTGGATCGCGTTGCCGAAAGATGTACTGAACTGGGCGCAAAAGATGTGCTTGTCGTAACAACGGACGTTACTTCTGAGGCGGATGTGGAAAATCTGATAAAGAAAACAGAAGAGAGATACGGTAAACTGGATTGTTTGGTATTGAATGCGGGCGTGAGCATGGGACAGACTTTTGATTCTCTACAGAACTTGGATGTCATCAAGAGGTTGATGGATGTGAACTATATGGGATGCGTGAACGTTACTTTTCATGCATTACCGTTGTTGAAGAGAGCACCAAAGTCGAGAATAGTCGTTAACAGTTCTCTTGCGGGGATTGCGGGTGGTCCTTACCGAACTGGGTATTCGGCATCCAAATTTGCGGTCAGAGGGTTTTATGAAGCGTTACGGGCTGATTTATGGGATCAAGACATTCATATAACTATTATCTACCCTGGCGCTGTAGTAACTTCCATAAATAAGACAAGATTGGGCGATCGTCCTTTTGATTTAAATATGCGAGGTGCTATGACGTCGGAGGAGTGTGCGCGTATCATGTTTGAAGCTACTTGCAATGGCACAAAAGAAGTTGTGCTTACCGGAAAGGGGAAACTCATTAGACTTCTGGAGGCATCATTTCCCGAACTGGCGGCCCTTCTTATACATAAAGTGTCACGAAAGATGCTTAAAGGTTAGAAGCAATAATTACGACCATTATCTATAACGTGATGATTGAACTAGCAATTTGCAACAAGAACCGTTTTTTTTTAAAAAAAATACCTGTAAAAGCCGTTTAGTACAATTATTGAAAGATCAAGGAATTAGATATTTAGTTTTCTATCAATTTGCGCTTGCGAATAAACATCAATGCTATTATCCCAGACACCGTTGACTTTGGTATAAAGTAACATCAATTTTTGCGAAATCTTCCATTAAGGAAAAAGGTGATTTTGTGATTAAATTGACTAAATCAATTTTTGATCCCGCTTTCCATACATTGGTAAACACGTTGGGTGTGATTTGATCTGGGAATTACAAAGAATATTAATAATCCCAAGTTGACGATGAAATCAACAATATCCTTATTCCACGTTTAAACTGCCATGCTAATTTAACTGAACTATGTGTGACTTATCTTACTTAGTAAGCAAACACGTGTAATTGTAGATCACGTGTATTAGAAACTCTTTACGCGCGCCGAATATTAGGACTATTCACGAGTACAATCCTAAAACCAAATGTCCGAATCATGGCAAGTCGTAGAACATGTATATAAGAGGGAAAATAGCCAAACCCTTGTGGAAAATATAATGAAAGTTTAGCCGTTGGATAAATATCTTAAATTGTTCCTGCTTCCAAAAGACATGCAACATGTATTCAAAACAAAAGATCATTTGTAGTACAATCGCGGTCTTGTATTCTTTCTGAACTCTGAAATTCATGTAATACAAATGTTGTTTGTTTGTTTGTTTGTTTGTTTGCAGTATGTTTTAACCATGTCTATTTGTAGATTATACAGAGTATGGCATTTGACATACGATTACTTTGGCACTAGCTATTTTGGGTATCCTTGTCAATACTACTTCTTCTGCCTACCAAATAAATAGCTTTGTCAATTACCATAGTCACTATCCCAATATGTCACTTGATGAAATAAAAGGTTAATTTTAGGATACACATAATGTGGACTTACTTTTTCTCACCATCTCTCTCTTTCTCCTTACCAACATCTTCATTTTCCTTGCAACCACTGTTCGCTCTCTTTCTTCCATTCTCCTTCTTCCCAACGCCAACTATCCGCAGTCTGTCGACTTTTGGAGAACGATTCTTTATATTCCCGTCTTTACGACATCTTATCACCCTCTTCCGCTTATCCATACCAACATTTCTATTAGCTCTAACACGTGATCGCGCTGAACATAATATAGAAACATCATAATAATCCACTCGCTGTGTTTGTCTGATGACTCTTGAACAGCGGGAGAGGTGGGAGATGTTGGTTCGATCGAGCAGTGGAAAAGATTTGCGAATGAGGCCGAAAGATATAGAAGATGAAGAGCGGCCGATGGTAGCGCTAATTGTGCTTCGGTTTATTCTACTTTGATTTTTTGCAGATTGACTATTTTTATTTTGAATAGTCTTTTTTCGCTTAAACTCTTCTCGATCCATTGATTTTTTCTTCCGTGCATTTCGGTCACATGAATCATCCGACTTATCTTCACTAAACTCAAGTTCATTCTCTAATTCTATTTCATTATCTTCTGTTCTTATTCTACAGCCTCCTCTCTGTTCCGTTTCCTTACCCTTACTCTTTCTCATCCGTTCTCCCGATCTCTCATTAAACCAATCAGGATTGATATTCTCCACGTGTTGTCGGGCGTGTTCGTATAAGGATGGTTGAGTGGCTCGTAGAGTGGTCAACCAGGCTGAGAGTGAAGATCCGAAGAGAGGGAGCTTGTGGGCAGAGAGGGCGAATGGAGAGAGAGGCATTGACTAACAATATGTATGTTGTATGTGTGAAGGTGTATTAATATGTAAACGCGTACGTCCAGCGGAACATGAAGAATGAATGGAATTATGTAGTTATATGAAAGTCATGCACGTATATTAAATCCCTTGTAGTTAAAGTTAAATAATACTGAAATTAATGTACGTGCACAGTCGTTACAGCGGTACGTGAAAAGAAGAGAGGGGAAGGAGAGGAAGGGGAAGGTGTCAGAATGATGAATGACGCGACCAGATGTCGTGAGGAGATGTTACACACGAATACGTGATTGACGAGTGATTTTGAAGAGAATGTTAATGCTATTTATTAGATACTATTTGAACATGTCTTTTATATCTGAATAGTGAAGAAGAAAAGAGGATGAATGAGCAAGCATACCATTTTATTAACAGTTGGGTAACAATTTCGACGTTGCGAAGAAGGCATATGTTATTCATTTTGATGGATAATAACAGATTGTGCGAGAAATAATAACCATTGTTATAATCTCCGTTTATGTATGTGCCTAAATACAATTATCAGAAATCAATCTTGTTGTTATTATATCTCCTGTCTAGTTGAGTTTAACAGTACCACCCGATGAAGACATAATGGGATGATACTCGCTTAAATTGTCAAACGCGTGCCACCCATTAAACGTTAAAGTAATTATATGCTGATCCATGCTATAAAACAGGTCCAATTCAAGAAATTGAAATACGAAAAAGGTTATCTGGAATACATATGACATTACTTCCCCAATGCTTCAACCTCCATCTTTAAAAGAGGATTCAAGGAAAGAATCATGACGGGAATATCACGACTAATCTGGGTTAGACTGAGAGGAAAGGTCAAATGGTATTGTTATCATTGTTATTACTGTTATACTTGGATGATACTGCTCAACGCATCATCCCCCTCTCCAGAGACATTTTTCGTAATGGTAATAACAATACATAAAATCCTTTAGGCGTGATATATTGACCTCCCGATTAGATTTTCTTATATTGGGAGCGAGTCGAGATCGCAAATTGATTGTGTTTGTTGCCAAAACTTTTCATAGTATCAGAAATTCACTTTTCAGACGTAAAATTGATTCGGCATCCTATCCTAAGCAGACGTGCAAAACGCGAGGTTTGACGATTGGGAACGGCATCAGGGCGGGTGGTTCGATAATTTTGGCTATTCGTGATCTTTATTGGCCAAAAACTAGCTTGCTTTGGCAATTTCTCTCGCCATCCTTGGCATTACCTGATTGCACATTACATAACATCAATATGTTAATACACATACAGAATAATCATAGGTTATTTCCGTCGAATTTAATCGTGATGCTGGAAATTTGAGGTTCATCAAAACGCTGGACGATATCCAAGCCTCCAACATCTTTATATGCAAATCAATCGAGGGAATTGCATGGTTCAAGCAGGGAGCGGATGTGGATTCGGTGAGCGTGAAATAGGGGAGCGAGCATAATAAAATTGATTCTTACTACTTACGATAAAATCGTTCATAGCGTCTTCTTCGTCTTTCCCATTAGCATTTAATACTCATTCTGTAAATCCCAATTTACTGTCTGTCCGTTTGCTCATAATACTCTACGTACTGTATGTCTAGGTCCAACGAGGACTAAAGCATTAGCATGTAGAGTAAAGCTTTTCTTCTTATGAATAATAGCATTTCTCAATGTTGATCTTACCAAGATCCGCACAATGCACCATTCCAGTCTGCGATGTTCAAATAGCAAAGTGTCGACAAATAACGACCAAAACTGAAGGAAAGTTTATTGTTATAGTCCGCACAAACATGACATGTGGGCCGAGTTAACTGGGAGATCATGAGAAGAGACAGCATGCAAGATTGGCCAGCGTCTTGTCGTTCGAGTGAAACCTCTTAGCGACCAATTCCGCCAGCTAAAATGTCGGCTTTAAGTGACAACTGGCTTATTATTATGCTCATTCTTTGTAGCTTGCCGGATGTTCAATAGCAATAGAGAAGAAATACGCGTGTTCGACTGTAAGAGGTGCAACACGTGCAGATCAGAATTCGTATTTACCTAAATCTTATATACTCGCCCTGACCTGCCAATGAGGAGTATTTTTTTAATTTGCGTCATAATTTCTGGTTTATTTTTGTGCGTTTTGTTCCATTGCAAAAACGAAGAAAAAAAAGTGTTTAGATGAATATTTAGAAACTCAGATAAGTCAGAAAAAGCAGTCAAAGCATAAAAGAAAACAGAGTAGAAGAAACCAAAGATAATTCCATTATTAAAAGTTATGCTATCCTTTCTTATGTTTGAGGAAAACAGTTTCTTGTTTTGATTTATTATTTTCATTAATTATTTTTTATCTGCTATTTTACTATTCATCGCACCGGCGTCATAAATTCTACACACAGTCTAATTCGAAGCTAAATGAGCACCAAATAAATCAGCGCTCTATCAAAGTCGCCATCAGTCAATCGAAATTTAAATACAAAGTTGTATTTCGTGTATATCGAATCTAGCACAACTGAAGGAAGAAAACTGTCCCTTTGAATAAACCAGCTGATTCCAATACAACATGCACAGATACTTTACTTTTATTCAAATTGTTAATTAGCTCTAGCGTACGAATGACTTTGTGACGGTTTGATGTCTCTTTGTGTTGTCAACATTACGTGTCGCTTTTCTTCTCTTTGAAGTTGCCGTAGTATGAGTCGGTGATGGTAATGATGGTGACGATAGTGGAGGAGATGAAGAGGAAGATGATGACGGAGATGAAGAAGATGGAGATGTTGGACGAGGTGGAGGCGGAGATGGAGATGGTGCGGGTGGAGAGGAAGGAGAGGTTGAAAGGGACGATGAAGAATCGACGGTATTCTTGACGTGCATATCTGACGACTCTTTAACTCCAACGCGTCTTGATGTACTTTTCTTCCTTTTCCAGCAAATCGCGTTCTTCTTTATTAACAGTTTCTTAGGCTTGCTCTTCGTGCTTTTCTTTTTACCCAGTAAGATATCCTTTTCGAATAAATCTGGGTTTATATTCTCGATTTGTTCAATCACATTGGAATACACATCAAAATTTGTTTCTTTCAAATCCTTCAACCATTCACTCATAGACTTTCCCGACAGTTGAGTCGCATAGGCAGACATACGAAATTGTGAAGACATGTAACTTGAAGTTGACCCTTAAGCAGACAAAAAGTGTTTGTTAGTAAATGTTTGGGAAGCCAAAAATTAATGGCTGACAAGAAACACAAAAAAAGTGAGAATGGCAGCGTCTCGTTTAGAAATAAAGAGAGATAGAAGTTACGGTGTACAAAATTTATATGATATGCGTGTCTTCATAGTCTATTCATGCACCACAAGATTGACATAACGACGCGTGTAGATTTCGATGTCACGTGTTGTATGTGTGATCGGTAAATATTTAGAACAAATCATTTTGATAATTAATTTACATTGTGACAAACCTTTTTCTTGAGTAGTCATCTGAAAGCTTTTTGTATGAAAATAAGCGAAACGAGTACTTGATAAGTTAAATAACATAGAAGATAAGCCAGACATATTGCGTATACGGATACAATATAGGTTTTCCTATGCCTGTTCCGAATGACATGGATGCCCCTCTCACCAGTTGTGGATATCCAGCTAACGTTTCAATAAATTATGTATTAGATTATAGTTTATCACGATATTTATTATTGAGGAAATCTTAATCAAAGAGTCGAAGAATTTATGGCGCGTTGTAAGCGAAGGGAGAGAATGAATGCGAAATGTGGTGGCAGGACCAAAAAAATTTATATGTTGTGTCACGAATATGCAACGAGAGGGTGATCTTATAGAGGCATGCAAGGATGTTCGCGAATAACAAATAGTTTCAATAGTCACGATATGTCACACTCTAGGGTGATCGATTACTTAATTAAACCAAGGACTTTTTCTGCCCACACGATCCTTTCCGTGCACACAACATTGCAAGTCTACAAGTAACCCACACTTGGAGAAGGCCAACTAAAATCATAAGATTCGATTCAATTCATTGGAAAGAGATTTTACCGGTCGCATACGAAGGCATCAGATTAAATTACAAGACGCTTATTATGGTGGCTATTTGACGGATAACCTATATCTACTAGCTCAAGAAACGGATAAAGTATCCCACGCGCGAGCAATGATATAGCAGGTTGGTTCACAAGACAATTTTATCATTAAGTTTCCCATAGGTAGCGATCGCATCGCAGGAAGCGGCTTTACGAAAAGACTATCAAATTATTAGAATTCGGTACCTTGATAACGTCTCTCGAGAGTAGGTTCGAATCCACGATAAACTAGCCAGACTTTCTGGGCGCATTAGGCAAGTTTATTAGCTTTGTACATCCAAAGTTTAGATTAAAGTTGCGCGCGTAAATGGAAAACGTTAACCTAAACGGTGTTATGCAACCTTTAATAGCAGCGATCGTTCTGCCGTTGATCAATTTGATAACAGAGTATTCCCTGTTTTCGCAGAATTGTGTTTCTTTGATGTCGAGTGCGCTTGAGTCAAAAGGACTCACTGTTTACAGTTGTAATAACCCAAAGATGCGGTCCTTTCAAACCATCAAGCTTTCTTCGGTTTTGATTGGAGAAACGACAATTCATTACTTCGGTTGGAAGGTCGCATGGTGCTTCACTTGCAGAGACGCGAGATCTTTTGTGTTTACTTTCTGCCGTTGCAATTTCACATTCCAGCTTTTGATAAATTATGAGCTTATTCAACGTGTTCCTGGTAAGCATTGGCGTGCCTGGAGGACTTTCTCGAAACGGGGGGAGGGGGGGTTACCATCTTGCAAGATAAACTGGTTTGGTCCATTCTTGAACAGCTCGGTTATAACAAGTAATTCCTTCTTCCTTAAACATTATCCGTTGATCGCTTTGCTCGAGTGCTATCATTCACCAGATGACGATTATGCATGATGTGGGCTGTAAAACTGGTTGTTTTTTTCTTTCTATAACATTTGATCGTAATAATAATGCCAAGGACGTGTTTTCTTGCAATTTCCTTCATTCTAGAAATAACCTGAAATTGATTTTTAATCGTGACTTGCTTTAATCTCCATCAAGCAAATACGAGTTATAACACGCAAACATGAGAACGTGCATACCTTGTCTTTGCTAGAACGAGCTCCTATTACTGAGAATGCATGTTTCAATGATTTGTCCATCATACGCATTGAGCCTTACTAGAATGCAATGCTCAACATGTGAGAGTAATATGTGATTGACATGCTGATCACTACTGTTACTGAAATATTTATTACCCTTGACGTTGACATTCTTGTTCGTTTATTACTCCATTCATATCAAAAGGTTTTTCATCTTGTCGAATTATGATCACGCTGAACAATCCCTCGTTTGCTGAAATGTAATGTTAGTCACTCTCACAATACTGAGAAAAAGAAATGCTTCGGTAACGATTATGTGGGGATGCCACAGAAATATGTCTGCTTTAATGAGTGTGAGATTTGATTTGTGTTTCAATCGCAATCCTTTTTATTTTAGCATATCATACAGTTTTGATTACATATAATTGGTTAACATCCTAAAAGCCTTTACTATAAGGGAAACATGCTGTTTATATATATATCCAAGTAATTGATACCAGGGTTTATACATATTTATTTATAACATAATAATATCACAGACGCGTATGATTCCATACGAAATTATACTTTCCAGTTCTCGTTACGCGACAGTATGAAAAAGAGAAGGTTACTAAGAAAAAAAAAGAACATATCTACAACCAGAAGGGAAAAACATATACAGTAATAATTCCAAGGCGTTTTGGGAGAATACAAAAATAGTAGGATAGCATAATCATAACTATAAATAATTTCAATGCCAAAGGCCAATTTCCCCGAAACATTCTATAGTGTTGAGTATACGATTAACCAGTAACTAGTAATAACACACAAAGATAAGCTAAACTTTTGCGTCTTGTCATAACTTCAGTTCGCCAAGTATTTTTGAACACATATTCTTATATTGCCACGGATCACCCGCAACGCGCCGGAATTGTAAGCCATGCACGCCAAGCAATAAAGGCACTTTCACAATGAAAATCTCAAATCTCACAACAAGCTCAGTAACATTAGCAGTGGCCCCGCCACTACCACTATTAGCCTCCTCGTTCCCTTGTCGAGAGGGTAAAGCCAAACGTACTTCACCGTCTGGTGAGAAATGGAGATTTTGTCCTTGTGCATAACTGTCTTTATAGGACGTTTGACTTCCCCGACGATCATGTCGACTAGAGTGAACATGATTATTGGCGGCTGAAGAGTGACCGTTTCTCCCGCCATGCGCTTGATTGCTACCAACAGCAGTCTTTAAATCTATGCTCGGTATATGTACGCATTCGAACCCGCCCCGCCCTTCACGCCATTTGACACCAATACGGTCTAAAACACGGATTAAATCTTGACGAATAACAGATGGCGGTTTGGTAGAGGTAGTGGCCACACTAAAAAGCCCCTTGAGAAAAACGGGGCGAATGTACGAATCGGCCGTGCCATCAGGTAAAGATGAATGAGCAGAACTGGAAGGGGGAAAAGTAAAATCAACTTCGGGTCTAGATGGCTCGATTGGACTACCGGAAGCAAACTTTTTCAGCATCTGAGTACCGCTCGACGAAGTACTCCGATGATGAGATGAACGACTAGATGTAGCACTGGCAGGTTTATCACCAGGAGACGCAAACAGTGTCGGTTCAATTACTTGTGGTAATTGACCTACCGGAGCCTTGGTACTGTTAATCTTTGTAGACACACCAGTTCTTTGATTACTAACAGAGTGACGCTGTCTATGCCGCTTATAATCGGCTTCTGACACAGAGGTGGCTCTGGACAGCATATTCGAAATTCGATTCGAAAAATGACCAGACGCTTCCCTTTTTGGACCCATGGGAGTTGACCCGTGCCGTCGGTGTTCGCTCACGTTTTTCCCCGGTGACGCCATGGTTGGTGAATGCGGAGGTGACAACGTCTCACGCGTGTAACCGATAACCGCTAAACTCAAGCGTCGCATTAGTCCTCCGGTCGTACTTTGTACAGGTGACTGTTCATTACTACTCTTTCTTCCATAACTCAACTCACCAGTCGTTTCGTCAAGAAGTTCCTCTGGGATTCTCTTTTCGTCAGCAACAGGTGAAGTCGTAATAATTGCGTTTAGTTCAGTCTCACCGTTTGTTCTTGATCGAGGTCTTGTTCCCGACGGTACGGTTGCCCGACGGACGACAGATGAAGATGCATGGAGTTGGGCCATGTTTGGATCGCGTATGTTTGTTTCGTAGCTGTTGTTGTTGATATGGGATGGGTCTGGGGGAACAATGGAAGATGTGTATATGCTGGGTATTTCGAGGGAACTTGATGAACCAAATTTTGCCGTATTTCCCTGTGACTTTAGACGTTCTCGATCCATCTTTTCTCTTACGAGATAATATATTGAGATAAGTGGATGGACGGCTTGTGTTGGATCGGCGGTGATTAATCTATCGCTACTCCCAAATCCGAATGTTCTATTAGTTCCGAACCCTATGTTTCGTCTTTTGACTTCTTCGGAAGCACTGGTATGTCTGTAAAACTGAGCTTTGATCGAACTCTGGTACGAATCACTGCGGATAATTGCTTCTAGTTGGTTTTTGATGTCTTGTTCGGTACCAAACTCGAACCCGGACATGCCTCTAATTACATCAATGTCGAGCGGCATTGTGAGAGGCATCCTCTGCGGCAGGTAATTCTCCGGTGGACCATCGCAGCCCTTATTCATCCACTGGTGATTCATTACTTCCGAAAGAGAAGCTCGTTTCATTGGGTCGGTGACGAGCATTCGTGATAGTAAACTTTTGCATTCTGTATGAAAAAAGTAGGAATATAATAGCATGTCATATAAAATCCCGTATTAAGTAAATAGTATTCGCCTAATCCATATATATTATACACCATAATGCGACACTACCTCTGTATTATCAGAAAAGAAAACAAGTCTCACCACTACTAAGCCAAGGCGGATATTCCACAACGCCTCTCTTTATTTTTGCGTGTAATGCAGGCATACTCTGGTCATCAAAGGGCACTCTTCCACATACGAGAACAAATAATACAATGCCAAAACTCCACACATCCACTTCAGGTCCTGTATAGACTTTTGCATTTAACAATTCAGGCGCAGCAAAGTATAAAGAACCGCAAAACGTCGATAAATGTGAGCGCGGCGAGTATAGATTGGATAATCCGAAATCGATTATTTTTATTGATCCTGATTTAGAGATGAGAATGTTCTCAATCTTTAAGTCTTTATATTTGAATTAGAAACCAAAGTTAGATCTCGTTTGTTGCGGAAATGCGGACCGCTAGCCCAGTAATAGCAAATGTACTTACCACGATGTACGATCGAGTTGCGGTGACAATAGTCTGAGACAGACCCCCAAAAAAAGTTATTAAACAGTTTCAAACAAGGAAAAATCTGATTCATACAAACGTGCGTAAAACCAACACTAACCTAATGCGCTCACAATTTGTCTTGCAAACTTTCTTGCCTGCTTCTCTTTTAGTTTTCCATGACTAATAATATAATCCAGCATCTGCCCACCATTAACATACTCAAAGAACATATAATAATGATGAGGCAACACTATTACTTCCTTCAACTGCACTATATACGGGTGATGCAGAAGAAGCATTATAGCAGCTTCACGGATAGTACGTGTTTCCTTGTTGTCATCCTTATTAGATGAATCATTTTCTTTGTTGTCTCTATCACCAGGTTGAACTCGTGGAATAATTTTCACAGCTAACTATAAGAGTAAATATGAATAAGATTGATATTATTCACAATGACTCATTAAGCAAATAAACATTAACAATATATCCCATTGAACAATTAGGAAGCGTGAGATTTTGTATGCAGCTTTTTAAAGACTCACTTTTTCACCGGTATGTTCGTGTACAGCCAATTTCACTTTACCCATACTTCCAGCACCAAGTGTCTTTGTAAGAACATATGGACCCAAGACTTTCTTTGGCTTAACCTTTCCATTGTGGTCTCTCGTTTCCGGTACATCATCAGCAAATATTACTGCTCCTGGTAACGGATTACCAATGCTACTTGTACGTCGATGATGTCGAAGTTGTTGCTGCTGCTGCTGCTGTTGCTGTTGCTTTTGCTGTTGTAGTTGCTGCTGCTTTTGTTGCTGCTGCAGTTGTAGTTGTTGCTGTTGCTTTTGCAGTTGTAGTTGCTGCTGCTTTTGTTGCTGCTGTAGTTGTAGTTGCTGCTGCTGCTGCTGTTGTAGTTGTTGTCGTTGCTGTTGGTGTTGGTGTTGCTGCTGCTGGTGCTGTTGCTGTTGCTGTTGTTGAAGCAGTCGTTGCTGTTGCTGAAGTTGTCGTTGCTGTTCTTCTTGTTTTCGTGCTGATGCCTCTGCTGATGAAGTAGTATTTCGTCGTGACAATTGTGGTGGCGGCTGGGGTTCGACTGACGAAGACGATAACTGTTGCGATTGTTGTTTAGCCTCTCTGCCCATTATAGTATCAGTATTCATAACACAATGTTCTTCGTCAACAGAAACGTTGTAGGTAAGCTGTGGTGTGGGACCGTTGTGCCTAGCCCGTTGTATGCCCTCGCTAGCGTCCGATCCAGCCCTACTAATATTACCAACTACCAAACCGTTACTTGTTTGACTTTGTGGTTCGTTGTCGCGAGAGATGGAGCCGTTAAGTCCCATAATATCTGTGTTCCCGTGCAACGTTCTTTCTTTGTAATACTTGGTTTGAGTGACAAACACTTTCGGACTATTGTTTGCCTCCGTTGGCGTTGGTGGCAGGTCCTTTAATAGATTGTCCTGAAGGTGTTTATTGTCTCTGGTGGAAGACTTTGTCGACAGCGTAGTTTCTGTCGAAGGCATACTCTTGCGGTTTTAGCGATACAGTTTGGTATGCTTAGCTTTTTTGGTCAGCAAAACGGAGGTGAGAGGTGGGGGGGGGGGGTGAAAGTCTTTCCCACCGCTCAAGAAAGAAAGCAGGAAATATAGGTAACAAACAATAATGTGGATATTTTCAGTAATCTAGCAACACTTTTTTTTTTTATTAATATTGCATGAGACGATAGATACCCTGGTTAAAAAGAATTCGTAAATAATAATGGAATTTACAGGGAGGGGATAACGCGGGGAGCAACGGTAGATATTGGTTTATAAGTATTTACAAACTTTCACTCGTTTTGAGTTAATTTTAATCCTGAAGAGAGTAGTCTCACACTGGATTTGTATGAAAGAACGAAAAAAGATTGTTATCGAATCACACACGCCTTTTCGCGGGAATCGTAATAAATTTCCTCGTGATGTTGTTTTGCGCCTAGTAAGGCGGGAATATCATTACCTAATATTAGTAAATTAGAGACAGGGGTTGTTTGGTCTCGGTAAAAAATAAACCCTGCTTTAATCACTTAAGGAATAAATGATTACTTTGAAGCAAGCTAGCTTTTCATGGTGGGCTCAATAATGCAATACGTATTTTACCAGGTGAAGACACTCGATGTCTCTCCACAATACATACTAATACGTACATATATTAATACATACATAATACATACCTTAATACATCCATTAATACATACTTATATAATGTCACAATTACACACATATTTATACATCTTATTACAAAGAGAATTCTATCACTAACTTAACCATATCGTATTGTCTCGGGACATCAAAACTTTACGATAAGGGGGGGGAGAGTAGTATGGTAACTGCCTTACATTGCAATTTGTAAAATAAACAATAAACTTAAAACGGAAATTTGCTGCATGTGATCTCATTACTGAAAAATCATTGGTTGCATTACTGAGATAAAATTCCTGATTATCGACATGAACTATTTCAAATATCCATAATTGTAATAATGATAATGATAATAATAATAATAATAATGATAACAACAACAATAAACACGATTATCTTATCGTGAGATCCTTTAGTATTAGTCTAATATGGAATCATCAGTGTCATCCCAAACGTACATGTATGGCAAAGTATGTCAAGTGATGACGATACATTTTTAGCGAATTATGAATTCGATTACAGAAAAGGTTATTATTATGTTATTTTAAATCATAGATAGCTACTAATAGGCAGACAATAGAATACAATATGCATTATTACAGAAAAATGTGTGTTGTAACTCTGACCATACAGACTGCGCAGGGGACACGGTTGCTTCTCATTGATTTCAAACAATAAGTGTCCTGACATTGTAACAGAAAGGCAAAAGTCAGCCATAAGAAAACCTTGTAATACGTCCAACAACATTGTGAGATTGTGACACTATGTGATGACAATGAACATGCAGCACTAATGGGCATTGGGTGATAATAACGTCCACCCCTACTTCTTCATCCTGTATGGATGATTATCCAATACATACCCGTTGTTACTGTCATCGGTTGTCACGTATCGCATAAACAACCCCAATCTGAAAGAAGACGTTAATCCCTTTAATCCCTTCCAAGCCTGACGAGACATTCCATAGCGAAAGCCAAAGTATTTTAGCATTAACATTACCCCATGTTTGCAATCTGATCAGCAATCGCCTCACATAGTAATGGATACTGATAACAGTATGTACTGATTACCCCCAAACGTTTCAAGCATACAGAATGTCTGTCAAGCGTCAAGTTGGAAAAAAAATGAATTTGTCATACAAACTTTGATATGCACACAAATATTTACAATGCTTACGTTTATCGTATCTTTGTGCAATTATTACTACGATTGGAACGGCCAGATTTGGTTCTTTGTGCGTACACTTTGAATACGCGTAGATCCTGCAGTTCAACTATAATAAAGAGAGTCGAACGTCAATTACATTAAAAGCCAGCGATTGGATAAAAATATTTATTAGTGTAACATTTAACTGAAGTAGTGATGTAAACTTGTCGGGAAACAAGACTTTTCCAAGGCATCATTATATACAGCGACCGCTCGTGCAATGGTTGCCTCACCAATTCCAGCGAATTTTAAAAACCAGTAACAACCGCGAGGATGGAAAGCATGTATTATCATGGATCAATTAGTATGTATTTATCGCGATGCTCATAAATAGTAAAAGTGACGCTTAACCAATAAACATATTGCTACGTTTTTATCATTAACCGTAGGGCACTTATCATGTGAAAGAAAGAGTAAGAAAGTTACTAGAGTACTGCATTGTTTAACGACTGGGATGCAAAGCAACGACTTTATGACGTAAAGTGTAACATCTTTCATGTTGCATGAAATTAAGACCAGAGTAACTGGAATTACGTGAAGCCACGTAAATACTTTTTTCTGTGGACAATTTGTCCTATGGCCGTCGGGGTCATTTAGCGACAAGACACTTGTCTGGTCCATGCCAAACTGCTTTGATACTAAAAGTTGATTGTTATTCTTAGAATGACATTCCAGAAGTAATTGCAAAGTACTTTCATAACTTTTCTGGTTATTTTTTAGAGACATGCAAGTATAGTACAAGCGAGGATCGTGAAATCGCCATTCGATATTCATGAAGCAAATAGGCTTTTTGAGTGAATTCCAATCAAAAAGGGTTACAATGATTCCTTGATATTCTATCTATGCATTCTAACTCGCTAATGAGGGTCATAAAGCTGATCGGGGACATTTTTGACAAACACGAAACTACTCAACCATCATGGTGGGAAGCTGTTGACTTAAAAATCGGCTCCCTTTCATTATTGTCTGCAATAAGTTTTATGGACAGCGGAACATTATTAGAGTACACGATTGTTGTGACGAGTCTAATGAAGACAACGTTTAATTAATTTGTGCGTTTCGTTTTCTTTTCACCATCTTGTAATGGACAAACGTGTGCTTTGGTATCTGGTGATCTGGTAGATTCATCCTATAGTTACTGAAAATATACTTGTGTCAAATAGTATCTATTTCACGCTCTCGGAAGGCATGCAAAATATTCAAGCTGTTCGGAAACTAAATATAATGATAGCGTGAAACTGGGCTTTTTTTGAACTCAACTTTCCTCCCAATCGACAATGTCCATACATGACTTGCTACTCTTCGTCATAACGACTCAACCTAGAATTATCCATGCATTGTTTGTAACATCTAAAAACCAAAAGCGCTCTTAAAAGTTAGGCCATTATTTCATTGCTCATTTCTTCATCAGGTTCATATATGTGTCAGTCCCATATCTGTCCTGCGATCGTCGCAGCTCTGACGCCGGGTCTACGGAAGACTTTTTACTGTCTGGTTCAAAAATTGTTATCAACAACATATCGTACGAGCAGAGTGAGATTATAGAGACAAAAAATTGTCTCGCTCTACTAGTAGACATTTGAACCAAAGACCTGATGTTTACAGGACCAATTAATAACAGACATGTACCATATATTCCAGTTTACCTTTGGTATCTGTTGGGATACGCTACAAAATAAAAGTATAATCAATGAATTATCGTGCAATTATAACGAGTTTATTTCTTTGCATTAAGATCTTAAATTAACATAACGCGTACACTATATACGCACTCGATGTAGACACAGAAAATACTTCGGCATAGTTTGGTTGTGATACCGACACAACTTGCTAACTGCTGACTACCGACAGCGCCAGTCTGCTTCTTCGCAATTGACTTGAGCGCATTCGAAGCCTTATAGCTAGTTCTAAACCGTCGACAAACAGGACTCGTAATCATTCAGTTTCATTAAGCGAATGCGCATTCAACCCTCTCCTCCTCCTCGATTGGTTAGCGTCCCCTCAACAAATGATGAACTATACTGCCTTTTAAGCCATCTACTAACTCATTAGCATTCATGCCCGTTGTAGTAAATCTCATTCCAATTATCCCAACCATTCGGTAGTAAAATCGCCCCTATTAAAGTGCCAAATAATAGTCTGTCAGATTAGACCAACGCATTCAAGCCAGCACGTATAGTTAATTCTCTATGATTAACGTGTCCTTTTTCTTCTTACCAGCCAGTATGATAGGTGGTGAAATCAGGAGTCCTGTTCTGCATCGATGGCACCGATGGCTGCGCGGAGGATGTTGAGGCGAGCGTATGATTACTTGATGTCATGATTGGCGTTTTATCCTCGGACAGTTCATGCGACTCGTCGGATAACACGGAAGATGACAACGACCCTCTGTCTGTTATGTGAAATACTTCATACTCCTCGACAGCGAATACTTCAGAGTCAGTAATTTCTCTTTCATAATCTCTCCATTCGCAGGAACATTTGCCTGGAGCATTAAAGTGCTAAATACAAATATCAAATCCATGAATACCAATACAGCCAACTGATAGATAACGTTACATTAAACGACAAATCTACTTACGTCAGTCATCTTCAAATCGCCACGCCCAAAACAGGGTCCAAGTCGAGGTGACGAATAAACTGCGCTACACATATTCTCACGTGTAATACGGCTTAGGACAAAGTCTTCTACTTTTTTCCCGTCTCCTAAACTAAATATAAAACTTTCACTGGTCGTCTGAAAGGGTCCAAGCTCGTATTGAGAGTAACGAGCAAAACTCAACGCACTTTTTCTTTGATGGTGACCCCATGGCGTCGATTGAAAGTATCCAGAATCAGAGTTCATAGACGTACGTCTCCAACTAGTAGGATTGTAACCGCCAATTATTTCACCAGTGTTTTGTATTTTCATGAGTATGAGAGTAGGCACTTGATTGTCGCATCGATTATGGAACGCCGCGGCTGTAAACCCATCTCGCGATCCTCTTAGAAGTAATTTGAATTCATATCGAATTCTCTCACAAGTCGAACTATTGCCTTCTTTGCGATCAATCCAACATGCGATCAAAGCCGCATGTCTAGGTTTTATGATATTTGAATCAATTCCTTGAATCCTCGCAGGCAGTATGACAGACCTCACTTGCTGACTAGATTTCAAATGGAAACGCAAAATGTCCTCGTGCAAGTCCTCTGGAAGGATTTTGGCATAAGGCCTCACTCGATCACAAAAGTCTGCTGGTGATATCTGAAAGTATCGTATCAAGGAGATGCACCGACTTAACCTTGACTGCATAGTCTTGAAATCGTCATCCGTCCATCTTGACAAATCGCTATCCAGTGGTGGATCCTGCGCGAGACCCCATTTAATTACGTTCTCCCAGACTTCAATCTCGTCTATCTGAAGATCATCACGTTGAAGAAGAAGAACCAGGACAGATTCGTCTAGAGTGCAAAAGTTTTCCGAACGAAACAAAAACCTTGGATCTTGACATATCATCTCTAAACAAAACTCCCGAAGTGTCTTACAATCCTCCAAGCACGAAACAGTATGAAGTACTTGAACCAAATTCTCCTGTAACCAGCTTAACTTTTGGTGAATCAGGTGTTCCTGTGTATACTTGATCAATTCTCCGAGGTTGAGTTCGTCAGACGCAGTCAAAAGACTCAAAATCACATTGCCACTTTGTTCCTGCAAGTCTGCGGTCCCACCATATATATACCTATAAACGAAAACCAACCGCTTTTAGACGCCATACGCATTTGAATTTGACAAAGAAAGGGTGCAAGAGATACTCACTTGAGGACCACTTCGAAAACCTGAGCTGTAATATTAGGTTTCTTGAATACGAATACGCCATTTTCCTTCTTGGCCCAGTCTCTTGACAAGGCCCTCCGAAAATATCGTGACCTTGCTCGCAATATGACGGTATGTGCATGGAATTTTTGCACGTTAGAATCTTTGTCAGCGTATATTATTACATCATAATCGTCTGACTCTTTAAGAAGACTGTTAAAATCCTTAGAAAGGCCCTCGAAAAACTCCATGTAATATAAAAGGGCCTGGCAGCGTTCACCTTATTCAGCTTGTGGGAATTTATTGGTCTTGGGTACGCCTAAATATGGGCATTTGCAGATCATATTTGCGTTAAAAATAGTAGGGTTTATATTTTTATTTGGGAATGTCACACCATATTATAGAGTCACCTGAGAGCTGCGGTGATTTTGGTCACACGAATGTAACGGACGTCAAAATTACCAATGTACCTTATTTGCCTTTTATATCCCACATTACACAACGATTTCCGTTTATGTCCAAAATTCTTGACACTAGTACAACGCGAATAGTTATAAAAGACGATAACAGTTTAGCAGACAACAATTATTCCTTAATTAGAAAAGATAAATATTTATTTCGGCTGTGAACAGTATACTTTGTTAGAAAGAACAATAGTAATAGCTGAACGATTCGTATTCTCCTGTCAACGGCTCAATCTTGCTTAGGTGATCTTTCGTATCTTTCTTTGTGCGTAGTATAGTTATTCTCCTGACAGATAAGTTTTAGTCTAATCCTGTTAAAAAAATCGTAAAAATACTAAAAGTTAAAAAATAATTCAGGAGAAACGCATACAAAACCGATATTTAGGTTGCGAGGATAAAATCGTAGTAGTAGTTTAAACGTCACTAATTGTCACATGAATTTTGTTGGAAAGTAAGGTTCTGATTGAAAAGAGCTAAATCTCAAGGTCCTTCTCTGGGTATATTGGCTCAACATTTTACTGCTAGCAGTACCGCACAAAAAAACAGTACATTCACAGTTCTTTGAAACCCTCTCAGCAATTAATAAATGTATCTTTCAATCATCACTTTTCAAAAATTTTTTCTGTTTGATATTATCTGTAGAAGTTGATTTGCAAGGCAGCCTGATAGTCCTTAACTGCTCCTAATTTGGTATTTGCTCTTTGTGCTTAGTTCTATTGTACTTTGAGAACACACTCCAGTATCAATTATCTTATGTTTTTCCATCTAAAAATTACTTGTAATAACGCGCGGGTGGTCAGAATAAAAATAATGCTACCATTTGATTTTATATGTATTTGAAAGTATCGAATTAAATTCATGGTATCTGGACATACTAAATTCAAGTGTGATAGTAGTTTTGGAAAACTTTACGTAGATTGTGTAGATCATATTGTTGAGGTTGTGAAAAAATCGAGCACCGCGGGATTTAAACAAGGCTCAGCGCTATGACAACGGACAAGGTCTTCAGTACTTAGATTTTAATTCTGTATTGGGAATTTTATTTAAAACTAGTATCGTCATTTTTCGTTTCCTAAGTAGTAATGACGAACGTCAATACAGTAAAGTCTCATTACAATAACTTATTTACTTATTAAGTTAATCCGTTGCGTTGCAATCTTTTTAATTCGTGTCCAATCCACACAATTAAGACTCCAAGTATCGGGATAACTCCCCTTTCAAATAGTGCTGGTTGTTATCCTACAAGGTGATGGATAAAAATAAATTAGCGTTTTTTTATATACAGTTTTTTACTGTTTTGTCTGTTACAGATGCAAGATTGGCTTCCGGAGGTTTCCTCTAGCTGTGCTAAACCGATTGGAAGAAAAATGCTATCGCTTTGCTCAAGCTCGACATTCTATCTTGACGATAACGATACGATAATGTCTATGAATAATTTTGGTCTTATTTTAATGTTCGGCGCACAGATTAGTTTCGATGTCGTTCGGTAAGTTAAAGACCACGCAGCGTGTTTTACTAACGGTAATGTAAGGAAGAACATCGGGGAGGAACGAACTGGTTAGCAAATTAATTTCAGATTTCAATAATGCTATTAAACATTATTATACCTTCGTAGTAATAATATCTCGTTACGAGTTCTTAACATGACAAGAATGATGATGAAGAGAAGTATTAGACTGTAAAAGTTCTTTAACCTATTGAAAGACGTAGTACAAGTTTAGATTAGCAAAACATGTGTAATGTAACACAAATGTTGTTAAGCATTTGTCGGAAGGAAGTTTCTAATTGAACCTGTTACTATGTCGTCAGCATCAGAGACTGCTAATAATCCAGCCATTGGCAACTTGATCCAATCCAGTTATGTGGATAAATACACTAAACGTGAATGGATTCCTTACGAGAACATCACCAACGTAAAGCCGACTCAAATTAACGACGTTTACTGCGCTGCTTTTCACAAACCTTATGATGAGACGATAACGCTAGTATTACTTGGAAGTAGCGAAGAATGCACACCAACACTATTGAGTGAGTTTGATAGAATATATTCACTTTCAACTCACAAGTACGATAACAATGACAATAATTTTAAACGATATTCCGAATGGCTTAATCGTCGCAACAGACTCATAAAGGGCTTTACCAAGTCTAATGACGATAACTATTACATGGTTGCTGATAGACGCTTTTACCATTGTTATTCTCTTTATGGCTTCTGCTCCACATGTGGAATACTCCGATGTAGTCCCGTGTGGTGCA